CAGTGGCACTTGCTCCTCCATCCCTGCTCCTCTGGGAGATGACAGTGTCCCACCTCTTCTCCCGTGCTGGGATGTTGTGTTGTGGGGTGACAGACGTGCAGGGCTGGTGGGGTTTCATGGGACCAGCTGGAGCAGGTCCTGACTGAGGCTGTGCCTATGGCAGGACCAGCTGGTGAAGGAGGACAGTGTGGAAGCCGTTGGGGAGCAGCTGAAGGTGTATCACCAGCAGTACCAGGACAAGAGCTGGGAGTACGACCTGCTGTATGAGGAGTACACACGCACTTCCCAGGTACGTGGGCACCGCCTTCCCCAGGGGCTGCCTGACACCCCCAAGGGCTGCCCTGGCACCCCCTGAGCGCTGGCAGCTACCACGCCGTGCAGAGGGGAGGGCAGAGATTGGGCACCCACTGCTCTGTTTGTCTGCTACTGGACTTGAGGGGATATTTTGGCTGCAGCAAAGACAGTGCTGCCTTGGGGAGGGGGGAAGAGAGGATGAGAATGGGCAGAAATGTTCCTCAGCTCTCCCCTCCCTCCTCCCCAGGAGCTTCAGATGAAGAGGACGGCAATCGAGGCCTTCAATGAGACGATCAAGATCTTTGAGGAGCAGTGTCAGACCCAGGAGAAGTGCAGCAAGGAGTACATCGAGCGCTTCCGGCGCGAAGGCAACGAGAAGGAGGTGCAACGGTGAGGATGGGGGAGATGGAGGCCTGCCCTGTCCAGGGAAGGGCTCCAGGAGCTGCAGGATCCTCCTGGCCCAGCACAGAGCTCGGGCATGCACAGTCCTTGCCTCTCAGCAGCGCGCCGTGGGCTGGAGCTGGCAGGCAGCCTCCTCTGCCTCCCCCACTCCAGCTCACAGCCCCCCTCTTTCTCCCAGGATCCTCATGAACTCGGAGAAGCTCAAGTCTCGCATCACAGAGATCCACGACAGCAAGATGAAGCTGGAGCAGGACCTGAAGAAACAAGCCTCGGAGAACCGGGAGATCGACAAGCGCATGAACAGCCTCAAACCAGACCTCATGCAGCTGCGCAAACTGCGGGACCAGTACTTGGTGTACGTAACTCCCCTCCAGCCCGGCCCGGGAGCCATCCAGCTGGCTCCTCGAGGGCTCTGGGGCTCGTTGGACCGGCTGGGAGCCTGTTTGGTGCGGGAGTGAACTCTGCTGCGCTGCCGCGGGGCTCTGAGAGGGGCGGCTGCTGCCCTCTGGTGATGGCCCCGCCCGGGAGCCGCGGCCCGGGCTCAGCTCTGCCTTTCCTCCCCCAGGTGGCTCACGCAGAAGGGTGCCCGGCAGAAGAAGATCAACGAGTGGCTGGGCATCAAGAACGAGACGGAGGAGTGAGTGTCTCCCTGTCCCTGCTCGTGTGGGGGGGCCGTGGGCACCTCCCAGCTCCCTGTGTCAGAGCTGAGGAGCCTTCCCTGCTGGAGTGGGTGGTGGCAGCAGCAGTGGGGGGGAGATGTGGGTGCCCAAACTGAGGGGGTCTGACCCTGCCTGTGCTCCACTGCAGCCAGTACTCCATGATGGATGATGAGGAGGAGCTGCCCCACCACGAGGAGCGAACGTGGTACGTGGGGAAGATCAACCGCGTGCAGGCAGAGGAGATGCTGTGTGGCAAGAGGGACGGCACCTTCCTGATCCGTGAGAGCAGCCAGAAGGGATGCTACGCCTGCTCCGTGGTGTGAGTATCCCGGTGCAGATGTGGAGTGGGGCTGGTGAGGGCTGTGTTCCCACACGGCTCCACCCTCCCCTCGCCAGATGCTGGAGTTGTCAGACTTTCCCAAAGTCTCCCCTCTGCCTTGGCTCCTCCTGCCAGGGCCAGTTGTATCTCTGGGCTGCTTTAGTGGCCCCTGCTCATGCCCTGCTGTCCCTGTCCCGCTGCTGACCCCAGGCTCTTTGTGTCCCTGGCAGGGTGGACGGTGACACCAAGCACTGTGTGATCTACAAGACGGCGACGGGCTATGGGTTCGCCGAGCCCTACAACCTCTACGCCTCCCTCAAGGATCTGGTCTTGCACTACAAGCACACGTCCCTGGTGCAGCACAATGACTCCCTGAATGTCACGCTGGCTCACCCGGTCCTTTCCCAGCCACCAGCCAGATGAGCAGCCCATGCACAACACAACAGCTGCCTTCAGCTTCTCCCCAGGGCGCTGCTTTCTGGCTCTGGACTCTTGCACCCTGTATAGTTGAGTCTCTGTGCTCCTGCTCCTTCAGAGCCTCTGAGATGTCTGTGACCGTTCCTGGTGTCCCTCTTGGTCAGTAGCTGAAACCCGTGTTGGCTGATGGGACAGAAAGGCTGGGCTGTTGATTCCCAGCGGGCTCCAGCCTCTAGGAGGTGGGATCCAGTTGTGATTGAGTTGTTGGGGGCAAGCACAGCCCCCTCCCCTTCCCTGATAAGCAGGTCAGATCCCCTTCTTGCTGGCAGGTCGCCCCGCTATGCATCACTGTAGAGCTTGGTTCCCGATTCCTCGGAGCTCTCCGGCTGGGACTGAGGGGCTCCCTGTCTGGCTGCTGGAGGAGGCAGAGGAGGAGCGTGTGCATCCTTCAGCCTCGCTTCCCTCGGTGCTCTGGCAGGCTGTGATGGTGTCTGGTACGAGGGCTGCTGCTCTTGCGTGCAGAGACTCATTTAGGAAGGAGAAACCTCACCCTCCGTGGGGCTCCCCGGCCAAGGCCTCCCCACCTCACAGCCATTCCCCAGTGTCATAACCACCTCTGGAGTGTTGCTGCCTGGGCAGGGAGGATCCAGTTAGCGACGGATCTCTTGCCATAGTTGTGCCAGCGAAGCTGTGAAACCCGTGTTTGGTACCCGTGTTTTTCCTGGCAGGATCTGTGGGGATGCACAGCTCGCTGTTCCCGGCCGGCTTCGGTGACTCCCTGCACACGTAACCCGTTTGAAGCTGGACTGTAGCTCTGTAAATATGGTTCTTTTTGTGAGCTTCCCTGGTGCTGGTGTTTGCTGAGCCTCCACTGCCACCCCCAGCGTGGGCAGCAGCTGCCAGGCTGGCTGCCCCAGGCCCTGCAGCTCGAGCAGGAGAGGGCTGGAGTCCAACGCACACTACAGGCCCTACACGGAATGAAGGACCTCTCTGCTGCAGGAGGACAGATCTGCTGGGCCCAGGGCATGCTGAAATGTATCTGCATGATGGTGAACTATGTATGCAAAGCACTTAGAATCATGGGTACTGTATGGGGTCCGGGGCAGGGCTGCCCACTGTGGGCAGGGCGTTGTGTCCGAGTTCAGAGGGCCTGAGGGCAGCCAAGGTGGCTCTGGAAGAACTTTAAAAGCTGAGCTGAGAGGCTGTGGTGGCATTTGCTTCCCTGGGTTATCTCATCTGCTTGGCTTGAGGAAAGCATTCTTGGTCTTCTTGATTTGCAGGAGAGGCTTGTTCCCTTTTGGAGGCTGCATCCCAGGGACGGGGTTTTGCTGCTTCTGTTTCCCATAGTAGCTCGGGCTCTGCTGGCTCCACAGGGTGCTGTGTGCTCATCCTCTGCCTGCAGCCTGCCCTTGATGTGCCACCTGCATTGGGGACCATGCTGTCCCTCCTTCCCTGGCCAGCTCTGCTGCTCACCTTGCCCTGGGCTGGTCCCCAGATCCTTTTGGAGCTGGGATTGCTGGCACAAACGTCCTCCTCTTCCCATTGCTTGTGGCAGCTCTCCTGTGCTCAGTTGTACAGCCCCTGTTCCCTGCTCTGCATGTCCTCTCTGGGCCCTGCTTTTTGGGTCTGGTTTGTTGGTGTTTGATGCTCTGGTGCAGGTGACAGGTCAGGGGAGCTGTGGGTACTGTTTTTGGCTTCGGGGATCACTTGGGGAAAGCTGCCAGGGATAATTAAGGGAATTCTTTGGGCTCGGGCACGTGAGAGATGAGAGCATGTGGGAATGGGGCAGGAAGGCCCCATCCTAATAGTGCTCTCCAGTGACCTGCTGGGTCTGTGGAATGGCTGGGTGGGTTGCACCAACACCCCAAAGCTCTGTCAGTCTGCCACACTGATCAGCGTGGCACATTTTCAGCCTGGGGACTCTGTGCTGGTCCTGTGCTTGCCCCTGCACTTCCATCATGTGCCTGTGCCAGGGGACGGGCTGCAGGTGATGGGATCATCATCAGGATGGACGATCCTCAGCCTCTCACCCCACGGGCTCCACGTTCCCCCCCACACCCCACAAAGTGAGCTCAGGGTCAGTCCTGCCAAGGGGAGTTGCTCCCAGCTCATGCCAGGACTTGCTGAGCATCTGAAAGTCTCAGCTCCAAGCTGTCACCTGTCAACACTTCGCTTGGTGCTCGCCCTGCTCTGCTGCCCAGGGAAATTCCAGCTTCTCTTTACCCTATTTTTGTATCCTTTGGGCTGAATTTCTGCAGTTCTCCCCGCGCTGTCCCTTCCTGCTGCACGGCCGCAGCCTCTTTCCTCCCCGGGAGCAAGGAGGGGAGGGTCACGGTGACCCCTCTGCACCTTCCAGCACTGCCATTCTTGCCCACTTGGTGGCCTGTCCCCGGCAGGGCTCTGCTCGCGCGTCCTGTGTACGACGAGGAGGAAGATGCCCTTTCCCCAGGGCTGCCTTTCCCTGACGGTGCTTCACTCGGCTCCCCGAAACGCAGCTTTTTTTCCCCACTGTCCCCGGGGTGGGAGCCCAGCCCCCGAGCTCCTGCAGCGCTGCTCCCCCCCGGCATAAGCTCGCTGTGATTTGTCCTTTGCTGCTTTCGCTCGTTCTGACCCCGCTGGCGCCGCGTTTGGAGGCGCTGGGCTGTGCTTTGCTGCTTGTGATCCCCCCCCGCCCCTCCCACACGTCCTCCAACCGTGCCACGGGTGCAGCGTGGCTGTTCCTGCTCCCCGGGGACAGCTTGGGGCTTGTCCCTCCGTGTCCCTGCTCGGGGGGGCTCCGTGACCCCCCTGTAACCCCCC